AAAAAAAAAAAGTTCTTGGCTGTCAAGCTTCCCCTTTCACTCTTTGGGGTGAGGCATCCTGAAACCATCTAGGGTATCTCTCCCAGGGTCATTGGTTTCCTTTCCAGTAAAGACTCCTGGGCTCTGTGGGAGGCATATCTGGCTCACTCCCATGGGTGGAGGCCCGTAGGTACCTTTAGGATGGGGGCTGGTCACCAAAAAGAAAGAGGAAGCAAGTGCTTCCACCACAGAGCTTTGGACATCACCCACAACTGGACACTTAATACTGCCTATTGATCTCACTGTGTTTCTGTAGACTGGCAGTCTTCAGCCAGGGATGACTTTGACCTCTGGGGAACATTTGGCAATGTCTAGAAACATTTTTGGTTGTCACACCTTGGGGGAAATGCCAGTGACATCTAATGGGTAGAGGCTAGGAGTGCTGCCTCCTACAATGCATAGGATAGGCCCCCACACAACAAAAAATTTTCCAGTCCCAAACGTCAATAATGTTGAGCAAACCTGTTCCAGTCAATGCAATCTCCTAGTTTCTCATTGTTTTGGATGTTCTTCACTCTCCTCAGATTTCCAATCCCCAAATCTTTCACTCCCAGCAAAGGAACCGTCAAATGGGAACTCCTTTGACTCCCCACCACTAAAACCAACAACTTACCTGCGTCTGCACCCATCCTAGTCGCATCCATTCTGTTACATCCTAACAAGGGCCATTCCTTCCATGCATGCCCTGGTCCCTATTCCAACACCAGCTGATGTTTTGCAGTACTCTGACACCCACCAATGGAGTTAGCTCAGACCAAGGGCACTGTCCCCAACAAAGCTGCCTTTCTTCCTATGTCATCCACACATCTGACCTCCTGGCTACAATTTCAGGGGTTCCCACTAGTTCTGGTTGATTAGAATGACTCACAGAACTCAGAAAAGTGCTATCCTTATTATTACAATTTTATCATAAGGGATACATATCAGGACCAGCCAAACGAAGAGACACATGCATAGCGCAAGGTCTAGGAGGGTCCTGGCTGCAGAACTTCTTTGTCCTCTTATTGACCACATGATTGATTTCAGTCCCCTCCCCAGAGGTTCGATTAGCCCAAAGCCCCAACCCTCTAATCACTTGGTTCATCTTTCTGATAACCAGCCCACATCCCAACCCATCTTGTTAGCATAAACTCAGATATTATCCTAGGGGTTCACTGAATAGCAAAGATATCCCAGTCACTTTGGAAATACCAAAAGTTTTAGAAGTTCTGTGCCGGGAATTCAGGACAAAGACTCGACAGATACTTTATTATACCATCCTCTTCTGCATTCTCTTCTGCTCTACTGAGTCCTTATCATTGTTCCCTTCTCCAAACAAATAAGTTTTAAAACCCTCCTATGACTCCACACCTCCCTCCAGCTATTGCCCCACGTGACAACCAAACTGTTTTAAAGGGTAGACTACATTTGCTGCTTCCACTTCTCTACCCTCACTGACTCTGCCACCAATTTCAGTCAAGCTTCTGCCTCTAATGCCTTATGGAGAATGCTCTTGCTAATCCCACCAGTGGCCTCTAGGCTGCTAAATGCAACTATTATAAACCCCTGTTCTTCTCTGACCTTTCAGCAGCATCAACACATTCCTCCTTGAAACAGTCTCCTCTATTGGCTTTCAAGATAGTACACATTTGGGGCACCTGGGTGGCTCAGTCGGTTATTGTCCGACCTCAGCTCAGGTCATGATCTCAGAGTTGGTGAGTTCGAGCCCCACATCAGGCTGTCTGCTGTCAGCTCAGAACCCACTTCGGATCCTCTGTCTTCCTCTCTCTCTCTCTCTCTCTCTCTCTCTCTCTGCCCCTCCCCAACTCATGCACACGTGCATTCTCTCTCAAAATAAATAAACTTAAAAAAAAAAGATAGCACATGCTCCAGACCTCTCATCGTACCCCCAACTGCTATGGTCACTCTTTTCTAACCTCCTCTACTAACTCTTCTACCCCACCTTAAATTGCCCACAGCCTCGTCAATCAATCCTAACCCTTTTCTCATTGACAGTCCCTCTAAGTGGTCTAAATCCACTCCTGGCACCATCTATGTGCTGACCACCCACAAATATATAAATCGAACCCAGACTTCTCTGCTGACCTGCAAAACCATGTATCCAGCTGTCTGCTCAGTGGCTTCACTTGGATACATCAGACTTGATGTCTGTAAAACTGACTCCTCATCTTACCCTCCAGACTTGCTCCCCCACTGTTGTTCTCAGTTTTTGTAAATAATACCATCATCTGCCCAATTGCTCATGCAGGACACATGGAAGAAAAGCTCACTCATGCCCAAATCCAATCACCTCCAATTCCTATTGATTCTACCCTCTAAATATTGGTCAAATCTGTCCAGAGCTGTTCATCTCCATTGTCATCAAATCCCACCCAACTTCCATGATCTTTCACTTGGCCTCCTCTGGCGGTGCTCCAACTCAACTCCCTGCATTTGCAGACTTTTCTCTCTCCTTGACTCACCTTTTTAAATGTAAATATGAGTTCTCCCCTGTGGGTAGCCCTTCAGAAGCTTCCCACTGCTCTTAGATAAAGTCCCAAATCCTTAGCAAGGCCAACTAAGCCTGTATAATATGAGCCTTGCCCAGCTCTCCTGCCTCTTTCTCCACCCGTGTCTTCCTGTTCCTGTCACATGGGCCAGTTGTTCTTCCTAGTTCTTCAAAGGCTCAAGCACCATCTTTTCTTAGGGAATTCACAGATGTTATTACCTCTGTTTGTGATGGTTTTTTCTTTCATGTAGCTAATTCCTTCCTATCCTTGGGTCTACAATGAATTGTCCTTTATAAGCCAGTCATAATTAATAATCTTTGTGATTATTAGTTTAGTATCTGTTCTCCTAGATACTGAAAGAAATCATGAAGTGTTTCTGCTATGATTTCCCAACTGAAAAACATGGAGACGTTCTGTATCCAAAGTGCTTAACAAGTAATTCGTTCTTGATGAATGGCAGCTTTTATTTTCCTATTAGAGAAGAGCCATAGAGGGTTTTTTTTTAGTACTTATTAAACCACTTTATGACTTTAGCAACTATTTTTAGTCCAGACCCTCCACATGGCAATTGACACATGGCATGGCAGTCTAACTCTGTCTGGTTTAAGCAACAAAGAGTGATGGGGAGAGATTTATTAATGCACAAAACTAGGAGGTCTGTGGGTAGGCTGCTTTCAGGTATAGAAGGATCCAGGGATGTAAGTGATGTCATCAAGATACTGTTTCTTTAGGCACTGTCCCCCTGAGATGTCAAGGACTGTCACTGACTCTCCAGGCTTACATTTCTCACACAGCCAGAAATCGTAGTACAAAGAGGATGCCCCCATCTCTGAAAAAATTCTGGGAGGGCTCTGTTTCGTGCCTGTCCCTAACAGTCTCACTGTACCCAGGAGCATGCTGTCTTCTGATTTGCCAGATCAAGTGGTAGGGTCAGCCTTTCACAAACCACATGGGTTAAGAACGAGGGAGGTGAGGGGGCGCCTGGATGGCTGAGTCAGTTGGGTGTCTGACTTCAGCTCAGGTCATGATCTCATGGTTCATGGGCTCATACTTGTTTAATAAACTTCCCACCCATAATTCCTCCAGGGACTCCTAGAGAGATAGTGGGAGAGGCTGTATTGCCACTTGACAGCTGGGACTGTTAACACAGTGACAGAACAACCTAGATCCCAGTCAGTGGCACCTGCAGAATATATGGGATATGTGGGCACACATCAGTTGTCCCAGGATGGGGCAGAGAGCCCATGGGAAAGACTGGATTTCCTGGTAAATAGGAAGACAGCAGCTTGGAACATTTAGGATTATTATTATTATCTGTTTGTTCTCACCGACAAAGACCAGGTCATCCTACTTACATAAAAATACACACTATGTTGCTGGGAAATCAGCCTGTGTATGTGTTTGGACAAAAGAAGCAAAAAGAAAATATAATTTTTGCCCTTCAAAAGAATTTCCCCCAATGGTCTTCAGTATTCAGATTTAGTCTCTGCTTGCACAAATGCAAAGGTGTTTATAGATAAAGAAAGGATTTGAATATGTATAAGACGAAGGAGGAGAAAGAGAATAAATAGCCCAAAGGAAATGAGAAGATAGAGCACTTTGGAATCTCAGATGTTTAAATCTCCTAGGCACGATGGTACGGTGCACAAAGTCTTACAAAAAGTCTTAAATAGAAACATTCTAAAGCTTAAAGATGTTTAGGCCTGTTGCTTCCCAACCTCCAGAACAAAGCTGTGACTAATCAGAGACGTTTAATAAGCCTTAGAGTGAGAGAAATGCACATTTACATGGCACATCATGTATGTTCCAACAGCTCCACTCAGAACAACGAGGTGGCTGTCCTTGCTGAACAAGGGACATGGATTTTATCATTAAAACACTGACAGGAGAGAAAGCAATTCTAGCCTGTTCTAATATTTCAACTGCATAAACGGACACGAATACCTTTTTTCATTCTGAAATCATCTCAAACACAGAAAAGTTGCAAGAATAGTACATAAAGCCTTCATGTACCCTTTACCCAGATCTCCAGTATTGAGTGTTTGCCATATTTGCTTTATCATTTCTCTCTCCCCACTCCCGCTTCTCCCTATGTTATCCAAAGACATTTTTTTTTCTGAACCACTTGAGAGTAGATTGAATCTATCATACACCTTTGCCCCTAAGTCTTCCCTTTGTGACTCCTAAAAATCAAGGCTGTTCTCTTACGAACCACAGTACAGTTAGAAAATCCAGGAAATTTAGTATTCAATATTGATAGGATATTTTTATCTAAATCACATCCATATTCCCTCGATTTGGATGTATCTGATGTTTCCTTATGATTCATTTCAGACAGTGCATTTTTGGTGAGAATACTGCATGAGGGCCGCATGTCCTCAGGTTATCACAGTCAGACACGTATGACATCTGTTTGCCCCTCATTGGAAACATTCATTTTGACCACTTGGTTAATGTCCGATATCTCTCCTGTGCAGATTTTTCATTTGGTACTTAATAATTTGCAGAGAGATACTTTAGGCCCTGTTAATATCCTCTTCCTCATCAAACATTCCCCTCTTCCCAATGTCATGTCCTTAATAGCCTTCTCTGAGTTGTTATGTAGATGAATGGGTTTCTCAAACTACTGGAAAAATATTTAAAGAAGCAAGCAAATGGCCATCTCATAAATATTTGGCAGAATAGCAGGCAGTGGGCATAGCTAAAGGAACCTCTGAGTTCACTCAGTGGCAAGAGCTCATGTCGTGGGCTGGGTGGCAGTTTGGTCATTGGAGAAATGTCTTTTGTGTGTGGAGGCATGGCCGTCCTCTCCAGGATGTTCTCTAAGGACCCAGAGAGATCCACATACATCCAATGAAATCTATCAGATTCCCTCAAAACTGCAAAACCTCAGTTAGCCTCACTTTTGTGCCAAAGGGTAAATTAAAAGGGAAGAAAATAAAATAAGTGCTTATCATGACTTGCTGGGAAAAAAACCTATTCCAGGGTATCTCAGGGGTCTGTACATTTTACTCAGTCCCCTGTGTCTTCTATTTTTGTGCCCATCCTACTTTTTTGTTGAGAATAATGTTTAAAAGTTGTTCCTATACACAGCATGGTATGAAACTAGAAACATACGTTTCAAGTGTTTATTATTTTTGAGAGAGAGAGAAAGTGCATGCATAAGGGTGGGGGGCAGAAAGAGAGGGAGAGAGAGAATCCCAAGCAGGATCCATGCTGGCAGCACAGAGCCTGACGTGGGGCTCAATCCCATGAAACATGAGATCATGACCTGAGCTGAAACCAAGAAGGATGCTTAACTGACTGAGCCACCCAGGCACCCTGAAACATAGGGTTCAGAAAAATCTTCAGCAACTGGAATTTTTAAAAAGTTTTTCAAAGTTATTCTCCAGTTGTCAAAAGGCTTTTGAAAACAGAACATACCATTCTCTAGGCCCCTAGTTAATCGAGATGTCATAGCCTACATACAGCATTCACCTTCCTGAACCTTTGCTGAATCTCATGAAGTGTTGCCATAGAACCTCAGACTTTCTGTAAGGCCTGTATACCTAGAATTCCTTGTCTTTTGCTTTGGAAATATAAACTATATTTTTAGATGAACTCACAAGAATGCTGAATATGCCTTGCCCACTCTTCTTGTCTTTATTCTCCCCTTCAGGACCTAAAGCAGGCACCACCCAGGCCAATGGGCAGATTCCCCAGGCTGCACATTCTGTAAATGCTGTTCTTGAAGAAGCCCAGAAGCAGGCAGAAACTACTAAGGTAAGACCAGAGAGTGACTGGACGTCATTCTCAGACTGTCTCCAGTAAGCCCGTATTCTAAACCATTAGCAGTGTCCAATAACTGCTCCTCCGAAAAGAGAAAATCTAGTTCCAACTACTAAGAAGTCACTATAATTTCATTTAGGTAATTGTGTGGGTTTTTTAATCTTAAAGTTATACAGGCTAGAATGGAAAGTTAAAGCCGACTGTTACCACATTACTTCAGAAAAATGTAAGAATTTTTTTTTTTTAATGCTAAGGCTTGGTAAATATTTTTAATTTAGCTCCATTGATTTTGACTGAAGGGCTTTTCTTGATTTAGGCAAGTGGTTTTAGCATTCTGAAAGTGGCACCTGAGTTTTAAACCCTTGGGATTTTTTTTTCCTGAATAAATTAGAGCAACCAGTTAGTCAGAAGCCCTATATTAAATGTGAAAATCCCCGAAACCAGACTAGAAGACTACTAAAAGGGTTCTGTTATAAAATGTGCATTTTATATTTTTCTGTTAATGTTCTGCATACATCCTCAGGGTGATGGAGAAGAAAACACATTTTAAAATACTAGCCAAATTGACATAGCATTCTCCATAATTTTTTTTTCAGTAAAGGAGATTAATGAAGATTCATTTAAATTTATCTAAAAATTATAGCTGAAAGTTGTAATCTAGTTACTAACCTAATTGGTAACATCTCAACTTACTATTCTGTTGAATATTTTCCATGTGTGATTCAAAACAACCTTAAATAATTGTGCCTTCTGTAATTTTTCACTTCATTCTCCCCTTTGATTTTGTCCATCAGTCAGTGGTGGGAGCAATTAAATCCTGTATTTATTGAATTTCTTACAATTTTTGAAAACCATTGTAGACCGTTAAAAGTTGTATTACTCTAGTATTATTAGCTTCTCAAGTCTGACATCATACACTGTGCTTTCAGTGATTATTATTTCCGTGGCTCCTGTAATGCCTACCAAAGAGAAACACTCTAAAATGCTGAAAGCAACAAAAGGACCCCAAAATAGAAATCACTTCACCTTGTGTGAACATCAGTTCCCAAACTGCCTGTTGAGAAATTTTTTTAAATTACATCACTAGCCAATTAGTTTATCGTGCTAAGCAAATAAACTAAATAAAATAGAAAACTCAATCATAAGGCACTTTGTTAGGGAAAAAAAAAAAACTTCTAAATTTAATCGTCAGTGGTAAGAGGTTGTTAAAGAAAAAAAAAAGAAAGTGAAAACCTGATAAATTGTAAATTGCAATGATAATTATCACTGACACAGAGGGATTCAGCTAAGCTGCCTGGAATCCCTGGGGAAGTTGCATTATATAAACGTAATTTACTATCATTGATTTCCACCGTTGGCAGAAGGACTGTGCCTCTGTTAGCCTTTGGCCAAGTTCGGTGTTGTGGTTTCTGCCCGGCAGCACGTGCAGTGTAATCTTACTCTGCAGAACCCAGCCAACACCTTTAGCTCATTTAATATGAACATAACCTTGAGACAGAAATAGTAAAGATTATGATGCTTGATTTATACCTGATCAGCCAGCCAACTTTCACACAGTTCACAAAAGGTAAATCTAAGACTATGGACCAGATGTGTGGATTCTTGGTCCACCCACCACCTCCCTTGAAGCTGTTAGGTCAGAGGGAGTGAAGCATATAATTGGTTTCTCCCTGGTAGCCCACAGTCATGGGCAAAGGTTTCTTTGTTCTCAGCATGCCAGCAACCACTGATGCAAGAAAAGGCAGGCAGTTCTTTCATAGGAGAGTCTTTTTTGTGCTCAGATTTGTACAAAGGTTACCTGTAGCCTAAAGTACATCATCCTTGTGCTATAAGAGGAGGACATCTAAGCCAGGAGATTTGGGGACAGTTTCGGGAAGCTTCCTAATCAGCTCTCTGCCACTGGAGGTATGGTACAAAAGGAAAATAATTTCACAGACACCTGCTTCTGACAATTGAGCTTCACAACCTGCTCAACTCAGACCAAGAAAAATGGTATGGCTGCATATGTCTAGGACCCAGGTGGCTTGTCTTGGGAACCAGGGCATGAATTCCAGGAGAGCCATTTTGCTTCCATTTTGAGTTTCCTTAGGCTGAGCTTAGGGTAGGTAAAGACTGAAGTAACCACACAAGGAGCTAAACTCCTTATCACTAAAGCTCTTTTAAAGACATGGATTAGTCCCCTATAAGGTGGTTGGTTGGGAGGAGATACATCTCTAATCTAATAAACACCTCATTGAATAGGACTAAGTCTTCGATTTACCAAAGAAGACATGGTAGGCTAGCATTAAATAACGTTATTATTGGTAATAATGTTAGAGGCCATTTGGAGTCATTCTCCTTACTCACAGCAAACATGAGCTAGCTCATGAACAACTTGTAGAATTGGCCTGAGGAGTGGAG